CATTGTCACCAAGATCATTAATATTGTTGTCGTCATTGTCACCGGGATCATCAATATTGTGGTCGTCATTGTCACTAGGATCATTAATATTACAGTCGTCATTGTCACCAGGATCATTAATATTGTGGTCGTCATTGTCACCAGGATCACCAATATTACAGTCGTCATTGTCACCAGGATCATTAATATTGTGGTCGTCATTGTCACCAGGGTATTCAATAATGTGGTCGTCATTGTCACCGGGATCATCAATATTGTGGTCGTCATTGTCATCAGGATCATTAATATTGTGATCGTCATTGGATCATCAATATTGTCGAATGTATTTATGTTTTTTTGATAAATATTTAACTTATTTTATCATGTAGTCTATTTTTATATTATTTATTTGTATCGCATCTGTAAGTGTATTTTAGTGTGGTATTGGTGAAGTAAATAAATAATGTATTGCGACAATCAGGGTCACCAGAATCATTATCACTATTTCTGCGTGGCTCTGCTTTCCATGATAATATAGTAATGACATCGTTGTGATTTTTTACTTATTTGTTTCTTATTCAGATTCCTCTGTCGATAGGCATGCTAATATAATTCCACTGAAATTACATCGATTTATTGAAGGACTCCCGTGCCGTCTCAGTAGTAACTTTTTCAAAGAAGTGTAAACGTTATTAAAATAAACAAATAATGTATTATTTCTATATTTTTCAAATATCTAACATACAATGTTAAAATGATGAAAGGCTTTAAACTTAAAGCGCGGTGGTCGTCGCACATCGCGTGTTCGAATTTCATGTAAATAAACAATGTATTTTACACGCGTTGTATACGTCGCTATGGGGCCCATATAGAACAGGACGCGGCACGACCACTGCCGCCCTTTAAATTATCGTTCAACTGTTGCTAATTGGATTTTTATGTTGAACGATAGTTTCGGTTTAAACACACCGCGTTCTTCGTGTAATAAGGTGTTCATATGAACATAAAACGATGAGTTCCGTCGACTTTATATTCGAGGTAGGCTTAATGTTTGCATAAGGGATCGGTTGGCTGTGAATTGTTTACCCCTGTGAGAATTTGAAAAAACCTGTTTTCCAACTTTCTTTTTTTCAAGCCGTATTCAAGATGGCTGCCAAATATAGTAGATTTCTGTCGGTGAACTACTAGCATTTTGATTATCACGTGTACGCCAGCTGACTGTGATTTGTACTTACGCGACTGCAAACACTGTTATGTCAAATGGGTACTGGGGATTATCTTATAAATAAATAAAGACGACGAAAAGAAAAGACGGATAATTTTGACTTATTTGCTTATTTGAACAAAAAAATCCACGAGACACAGAAACCCGTAAATGGTCTGTACATGATTGAAAGCACTTGTGATTGTGTCTATTGAAGGCACAGAGTTGTGATTATAATATTCAATCCACTTACTATTTATTATAATAATATGAAAATAATGGTGGTTGTTTCATTATTTTTACAGAAACATGACCAGATTAAGCAATACAATAAAAGTCTAGATATGAAATG